TGGTTCGCGATTGGTTCTCACCTCGTGTGGTGAGATATATTCAAGATATAAGTTAACTTATCAATTCCCCTTCATTCTGATATGTACGCATTAGGGTGATTCGTACTGTTACAGTTATTCATACAAATTAGAAACCAAATGTTTCAATCTAATATCGACGCCAAAAGTAATGCAAAAGTTAAAAAAGCGCTTCTGTTACCGTTTTTGTATACACCACTGTTTGCGCATTTATGTTCAATACTGCTATCGTCACCACCGTCACCACCGCCACGTCCGCCGCCGCACTCGCTACCGTCCTTATGCTGTGGTATTGGTTTGCGTTCCATTTAAATCCACGATCGAATTCACAGTACTAACCCAAACACAAGCATGTTAGAGAAGAAATATTCAAGGTTATAAAATATTTTCCTTGAAAAATGAAGTATTCTATAAATATTTGTTACACAAATATTGACATTGGTAACATATTTGTTTCTTCAGGAGATATTATTTACTGACTTTTCCCGTTAGTCAAGGACAATGATTTCGAAGCCGATTTGTATAAATACAACACAGTAAATACAGTTTACATATGTGTAATTGTAATAGCCTTGTAATTGTAATAAATAAATGTGTGATAAAATAAATGAATTTGCTGATATTGCGGATTTATTTCTGTTCCATGTTCAATTGTTCTCTCGCGAGTAGATGAGAAAGATACATATATTTAAATCATATTACTTATAGTTACTGTTAATATTTACAATTCTCAACTAGAAAATATTTTAGTTGAATAGGTCTATAGAGAATTTTATCAAAAGCCTTAAGAGCTTTACCTCATAAATGCTGTTAAAATGAGCTCAAATTAGAGATCGCGCTTTTGCGAAACACGCGGAAAGAGTCGATGAAAAAACAGAGTACATGAAAAGAAAGAAAGACCTATTTAACTGGCGGTAATGTACGCAGTTGAAACAACAAATAAATACATATAGCACAATTATTGAATTATTATGGCAGCCAAATATAATCTCAATCACCGAAACCCAATTTCTCATTAATAGGAGTTGGAACAAACGTAACAACTAAAAGAGGAGCGTTCATTCAAAACCGAACGTGTCCATTATTTACTTAAATCACGTTTTATATGAATTTGGGGTATTTTAGAGCATTTTTAACGACTCGTCTACTCAGAATCGTTCAAAACCAAATCGATCCTATAGATATCGATGCTTGAAAACGTAGAGGTCACTCAAAACCAGACATGCTCACATCAGATGATTGAAACTCTGTAATAGGAAACAATACAAGATAGGTCCCTTTGCTTTTCCATATGGAAAAAGAGATATATATGTTCATATGACATATTATGCGCGGTATCATGTTTTATTATACTTTACCGGCCTGCATAAAATAACTCTAAACTCAAACAGCGGTATACAGGGTGGTCATTTTCTATTTCCTTGCATAAGTAACTTTTTTATAAGTTACTGAATTATCCGAAAAAATTGAAAATTGTCGTTTTATTTAATTGAGAAAACTTAATTTAGAAATAGATAAGCATACAGAATATATAAAAATTGATATTCACAGAGTTACGTAGAGTAACTAGTCCAGTAAATTTGCCAATGCAATTGCTCATACGATTTCCATGAACTGACATGGCCTTACTTTTTTTTTTTTAATGGAAACCGTGATTGGTTATAAAAAAGTTATTTTCCAACGTCAGAGATACATATAAGCATTTGTGTGCCTATCTTTTTTCTTTACGTTGAAAATGAAATTAATGTTTTTTTTTTGTAACCCTCAAATTGACTAGTTGTTAAAATAAATGACATTAGACTGTCTGAAGTCTGTTATTATGTTATTTTGCTAGTTATAGAAACAGTGACCGAGCCAGTCATGTATTTTGGCAGATATCCGGAAAAGGCGACAACTATTTCAAAGTTATACAGTCTAACTTCATTTTTTTCTCAACCTAGTCTCAACCTGTTTACAAAAAAAATTAGTTTCACCATTTTCAGCTTATAAAAAAAATATAAGCATACGAATGCTTATATCTCTGAACCTATAATTTGTATCTTATATATCATATATGTATCTCCATATCTAATGTTATTTGGAAATATAGAAAATCGTATCAGCAATTACACTGGCAATATGTTTACGGAATTCTACGTAAAAGATTATGTGGAATTGATTTTTAAATATTTCGTATGCTTACAGGTTTCGCAATGGTTTACCATTAGGGAACATACCCATACTACGTGACCCGTTCAGGGGGGGGGGGGGTCTTCCAAATACCACGCTTGGTCACAGGGGGGGGGGGGGGGTTATGTTTTCGTCACGTAGTCAATATCCCCTAGGGAAATCTCGCGCTTTTTCGAGCTATATTCGAATATGGCGCGCAGTGTTTAGCACTTTTTAAACCCACAGGTGACCACACTGACGCACATGAGCCAAATTTTTTTTTTTTAACTTTCTGTTTGCAAAAAATTATTTAAAACCATATTTATGAATTACTACGTGAAAACTAGAGGGGGAGGGGGGGTCTTGGCATATACTACGGATGGTCACCGAGGGGGGAGGGGGGTCTTGGCATATACTACGGATGGTCACCGAGGGGGGAGGGGGTGAAAAATTGTAAAAAACGAGTTACGTAGTATGGGTACGTTCCCTTAACGGAAGCTACAAATTTCCGTTTTTTTCGAGATAATTCAGTACCTAACCTGAAAATATAATATACTTTTCACTACGGCACTGAATTCTTGTCAAAAAGTAACCAACTGTGTAGCTAAACAAAAGGTTTTTTGGTGTTTTTTCTCAAAACTACTTTATTTGGACATGTCTTCGTCTGAATGAACGCTCCTCAAATGAATGCCTACAAAATATCTAATGAATGCTGTTAATAAAATGTGGTTTGCAATCAATCAAAATCGAACATATAAGAACAAAATTTAATGGAAAAAAGTAACTCAACTAGTTCTGAGTGTTTTTCGTATCAAATGTTATTGAAAAAAATGGGGATAATTTGGGATTCGTGGAGGGATTTGTTTATAGATCGTTAACAAATTCGTTCACAGCATTAATCCCCTTTTTTCAGCTCCTGTCCCCACTTGCGTCCGGGAAATGTTTAAAAAATGAGCTCTTGAGTTTTCCGTTCACTCCGTTCACTTCCGTTCATATTTTTTACAATTTGGTGCACAATACCTGTAACAACGAGCAGCTTCTCAGTTTATATTTCACTGCTGATAATAGATTATCTAACAGTTATGAATGATGTCCAGCAGATAGCGCTGCCGGCGTTACGCAGGTAACTTTGTTTAGAAACCAATTAAGTTTGGGTGTGTGATTATACAGGGTGATTCCGAAGTGAAGTCGAATCATATTTTTTATAGCGCGTAGAACTGTTAAAAACAAACATTTTTTCCGAATACAATTGTTTGACAAACTAAAAAAGTTGCTTTATCAAATTTTAAATAGCATTTGTCCGGTACAGTCTCCAATTTAAAGGAAAGGTAAATTCGAAACACAGTAGAAAAACATTCCTAATTTTATCACTTCTTTGTGAATAATTTATTCCTAGTATGTTCTTATCTTAAACGTTTTTGTATTTAGAATTACGCTGTACAACCTTCACCTTTGTTTTCCGGCTTTGCCTTTTTTAAATTGAAGGCAGAGCCAGATAAATGCGATTTTCAAAGCAACTTTTTTATTTTTGGGTTTTTTGAAAAATGTTTGTTTTAAATAGTTCTATAAATAGGTACGCTGTTTGAACTTAAGAATCACCCTGTATATAATAACATATTTATATAATAACAACGGCTTTGTGCAAATACCACTGATTTTTCAATTAGATGACATTTCAGAAGAAGTGAATAGTACATGTAAGTGTTAAAAGTTAAAAGTAACGTTTTATAAAATGAACTTTGACTCAAATATTATACAATATATTTTGTATAACTTCTATTTTGATAACCAAATACAATATTTACATACATACATCAAATTGTATACTTTCACATCTCCTGACACTTAATTAATTTTTGATTGTTAAGTTAAATAAGTATTGTTGTGAAATCGTAACTAAGTGATGTTACGGTTACAAACAAACAAAAGTAAAATTTTAACACTAATGTTAAAATTTGTGTTAAAACAATAGTGTAAACATTTTGTTAACGAGATATCTCTCCAATATCGCAGTGGCGGCAGGTGGCATTTGAAATTCTCGTATTTTTCTAAGGAAGAATGGGACCCACACCAGATTATAGGGAGTTATTGCTATAGCCAAATGAACGGCTGGAGCAGCAAAAAACATTAAACAAAATTTACGATTTCTTTTTAAAAAAATGTGCCGCTAGTTATAATAACAGCATCACAAAAAAAAAGTGAAATGTACCTCTGACCAAACATGGTGGATTATTGGTTTTTGGGGTCACTGAATTCTAATCCAAAGCCCGTTTTGCCCCATCACGTCACAATTTTTTTTTTATCCTCAATAAGCTGCGGAAAAATGGCAAAAAACGACAAAAAATGCTCTAGAATCCATCAAACCTCATAACCCAATACTTTAATAACTTGATACCTCTAATCCCATAGCTCTCACAATCAATAAGCCATACCCCAATTTACCATATAACCTCAAACCAAAGTTGTGCGGGTATTTTAGCCATAAATGGACAAAAAAATGGTCGAAAAATGGAGGATTTCTACCAGGGCAAACTGCAGGCCAGACCCCTAATAACCCAATGGCACCAATTTATAAGTTAATAACTTCGAAATACCACGCTATTAGTCCGATCGCGACCAAATACAATAGCCCTTGAAACCACATTAATTATAAATGTGTAAGTCAATTTTCATCGAAATCCGATGAATAAAAATGCACTTATATATAATAATAATAATAAATCACACCACAGAAATTGACATTCTCCCTCTAAGAGTCATTACGACTGTGCAGAGGGAGAATACACATGGAAAAGACGTATGACATACAACCAAACCCTGTGACAGGTGCCAATTGCCACGGGCGGGATTCGAACCGGCGCAGATAATAGCTCTCGGAGTAATTGCCACCTTATCACCTGGCGCTTTACCCAATGAGCTATCGCCGCGGCCAAACGAAATTTAAGTTTTAAATCCTAACTACCCCGTAATCCATCAGGTCAGTCCTAAAATTTAACTGTGAAGAAAACTTTCGAACACCAATATTTATGCAAAATTTAATATCAATTCGATTATTACAACGCGAGTTATAATGCGTTATAATCTGCGGACACACGAACGTACATACTTATGTACGTACATACGTACATACATAATGTACGTACGTACATACATATGTCCATAGTGCGTGTAATACGGCTAGTATTTATTAAATCTTCTAGCTAATTCAGAAGTCGTGAGAGGCTAAAGTTCGAACGAAGTACTTCGAGCTGTAAGAGAATAAAGAACTCACGTTAATCGAGAATTATTACGAAACTTAAGAGGCAAAGGGATTCACAAGAATCAAGCACTATAATGTCGTAGTGTTATTGTGGGTTAATGGGGTTCTGGCCTTTGCTTTGGCTCAGCTACCTAACTCCAGGCATGGATGAGTCTGAGATTCGGAGTGTCAGTCTGCCGTGACACATTTAGAAGTTATTAACTTATAAAATGGGGACATTGGGTTATTAGGAGTCTGGCCTGCAGTTTGCCCTGGTAGAAATCCTCAATTTTTCGACCATTTACGAACAGATTTTTCGACCCGTTTTTGGATGACTCCACATTGGCTCCTGGGGCTATGGGATTAGAAGTATGAAATTATTGAAGTATTGGGTTATGAGGTTTGATTGGGTTCTAATGTATTTTTTGTCGTTTTTTGCCAATTTTCCGCAGCTTATTGAGGACAAAAAAAATTGTGACGTGATGGGGTAAAACGGGCTTCGGATTCAGATTCAGCGACCCCAAAAACATATAATCCACCAAGTTTGGTCAGAGGTACATTTCACTTATTTTTTTTTGTGGTGCTGTGTAATTAATACAAAAGCTGAGAAACGAACTAAAACTTCAAATTTCCATAACTCTAGCAGACCCCGAAAATTCGAAAAAAGGCACAAGAATGAAGAGTGTATTTACTTGAGGATTAAGGAAAAAAATTGTTCGCAAACAACAATCGCGTTTCTTTGATGATTTTTTGGAGGTTGCACAAACCTGCAATCCTTAACCAACTGTCACTATAATATCCTCAAGCTAAATAACTGGTGAAGTATTGCCAAGCTCTCACTGGAAGGCTATTCAATTTAGGCATCAAAACATTAAAGTGCTGAACATCCTTTTAAAACATTGTATTTAAGGAAAAATGGAAACACAATGGGGTGATCTTATCATTACATCATTTTTAATTACTAAGATGTAACTGTAGCAGGCCACGACTTCCAGCTACCCTCCTCCTGCCACCCATCGTTTCACTGCCCGCGATTATTGCAGTGGCGTCGGCCTTAATTACGAGACCGCATGCAGTCTAATCCTATTAGGGCGAAGTTTAAGCTTCAGTGGATATTAAAATATTCCGTTAGATTCGACCCTCCGACTTTATTCCCTTTTTATTATTCAACGAGAAAACGTTCGGCCGAAAGAGGGAATCTCATAAATCAGTAAACCGGATTCGGGAAGCGCTGGCCCGCCTATAGGGCCTAGCCGGCATTTCTTACTCCAACATCCATATAGTGGAGCGGAAGAAGGTATAGTATCGAAGTAAAGTTGATAGGCTTTTCTTCTGGTATTGTTTAAATAGGCCATAAAAATTATGGAACTTCGAGGTTTTAAATTTGAGTGAAATAATTTCTGCCTGTCTGTTTGCTTGTTAACCTTTTTTTCTGTACACGATAACTTCTGTCACTGCTAGTTGCTCTCCTCTGGCTGATGTATAATGCCGGATCCATCCCAAACGACAAAACACAAACATGCAATAAAACAGAAACACAAAAAACGATCAACTTTCTGGAAAGAAAACAAAATAAAAACTTGTATCCGCACGGCCAAGAGACAAAATGTCAACAAACGGAAAACTTGTGTTTTAGTTTTGGTTTTGTTTCGTGTAGTCCACACCTAGATTTAGTTTTCTGTATCAGAAACTTTCAGAGTGAAAATATGTGATGTTTTCATGGTGGAAAAAAAAGGTTTGCTATTTACAAAAGAAATACTAATTTAAAACACCCCATACAACCTGCTTCAAGTTCGGCATGTACCTAGTGTCTGTGTTTCTGTTTTGTATTTGTTTGCAATAAGGTACAAATCGTTGGAAACAAAATAAAAATCTTTTGATAATTACCAACTCGCGACGGGAACACGATAAGTTGTTAAAAATACAAACAAAACATTCGAAAATGCTTCCGATTGCTGTGGAAAAACTGAGTTACTGACCACAAAAGTCAGGGCCGCACTTAGTACATAGAATATCACTAGGAGAAAAACGGAAAGATATATTTAAAAAACACCAAGTGGCAACACTAAAAACGTGTACGTGTCATAGACGTATTTATTTTTTACTGTTGATCATACTCCTTCATGAACCTTTAGTACAAATTTTTGACATACACTGCGCTAGCTAAATCCCATTGTAATATATAGGACTTTTTACGTTAGTAACAATTTGTAACAATGTTTTTGAAATTTGAAATCTTTTTGTTTTGGCGACAACCTGTAACTGAAGAGGACAAAGGGGAATACTGAAGTGATGGGTACGACATATGGAATACGCCGTATGGAATAAAAATCATTTCAATCATTTTAATTCTTAGAAATCTTGCAATTTTGTATACCTAGTACATTAATATTTTTTCTTACTCCTTTCCATGATTACTTGTAAGAATAGTTAAGAACACATTAAGATAAATAAAATCCTTAACTGTTATAGATAGTTAATGCCAAAGACAGCAATCAGACAAAGAAAGAACAATAACGGAAAAGTTATAATTTATTACAGCTGCCACCTCGCGAAAAAAGCCTCATGTTTCTTCCAAAACATAAGGAAATGCTGAATGTCCAGTAAGTTAAATGACAAATTTCAGGAACATAACATCACGCATAAATCAAATAAAAATTGCGATTTTGAAATACCAGGCTGTTTATTGCTTTGTTTTATGTGTCATGCTTCTTAAATGATCATAACAACAATTCTGTTTATGCCACCCTCTTAAATGTTTTTCGCACGATCTACAATATAGCATGCTCCCTTCCGCTTTAAGTCAGGTAAGTAAGAATATGTTTGCAAATGGTGAGGATCACTGCATTTTATTAATCACCATAAAAAACTACAAGGAGGTACATCACCTCAACCTGACACTAAGAAAATCTTATTGAATAATATCAATTAATATCAACATTTTTGACATTCCTATATATGACGAATGCCCTAGTGATTATAAGTTCATATATGAATGAAGTACAAAACTGTCAATTTTGAAATGCTGATGCATATAATATTCGTAAACAAGCAGTAAAATAAATTCCCGAGTGTCTTGCGCGCTGTCAGGATATCAGGTGTGCATAGTATGAATTTTATTTCATTTCTAGTAAATTAAATTTCTTAACTTTAGTGGATTATCTCAAATATTTTATTGTCACCTTCGTCATCGTATTGTCATCGATATTTACGTTACTTCACATGAAAAAAGTGCTCTTTTCAGTTCTCATTAAAAAAAGTATTGATGACGTCGTTGCCTTGTACCGAAGTGTACAGGGCAAGTGTGAAAAAAAATTTACAAAAAAATGAAAATGCAGATATCTTTTGACGTGTCCTTTTCTGAAAAAAAATCCGTAACGGTTTTATCGATCTTATGTAAGCACTGTATATAAAAAAGTCAATACAGTAAAAAGTAAGAAATTTATAATTTTACATAGGTTGTATACCTATACTTATAGCTTACAATTGCTTTTATTGTATTAGGTAGTTAAAATGAGGTGTTGCATTGGTTACAGGTAAATGTCACAAGTATTTACAGTCTAATAAAAAAAGTGAAATGAGTCATCGTTAGGGTCCGGAAAGTGTGCTACAACGCAGGGTCGGCACTATACTAACTCTATGGTAATTAAAGTATAAACCGTATTTTTAAGCGCCTTGTAAATTATGTAAGCGTGTATTTCTTGCCCGTGCATACGTACGCCACTGATCGTGCCTAATAACGGGCACACAACGAACTCTCTCGTGCTTGTTTGTGGAAATCCTGTATGCAGTTTAGCCATATAGCGTAGCAAGCATTCCGTTGTTCGAATTAGTAGTAGCTCGTAGCTTTTACTCCTGTCTTTTTGGTCTCTCATGTGTCTTTCCGTCAGTGACATGACGGATTACGAGTCCGACCCTGCGTTGTAACACACTTTCCGGGTCCTATTGGGAATTGACATGAAGGTGTGGCCTAATTACTATGGCTGACTTTAAGTTGCAAGTTTCCAATAAACATGCGTGTGTCTAATCAGAGTAATTTAATGCTCATTCCCACCTTCCATTCGAACCTGCCCATTTCAAAATGAAATTTTTAAATGGGCAGGTTCGAATGTCGCTCAAAAAAACTTTGTCAATGCCGAAATGCTGGACATTTAACAAAATGTGGGAGAAATGTGGAGTTTGAATATGGACGTAGTACCTAACTTTCACCGCGTTTTGTTTACAAAGTTCTCACCTAAAAGAACGACCCCATGAAATTAATGGGAAAATAACAAATAATTGCAAAATTTTGTTTGTTCAATGCTCTTGTAAAGCAGGGATGGGTGAAAAGTGCAAACACGCAGTGGATTACCGGTATGTACATTTCTAACCTCAAATCATAATTTAAAATTTCGAAAATATTTTATTATATATTTTTTTTTGTTATAAATAAAATCATGTTATGATGTTTCAGAAAAGGCAATTCATTAGATGTATTGTATCTAATATTACTAAATATGTTAAGTTAAAACTAACACTTGAATTGTCGTATTAAAAATAGACATTTGAAAATTGTTAAATTTTTGGAGTTAAATAGTTTATTATTATTAGCATAAAATTGACGAAAAGTCTGGCATTTATAAATTTTTCTTTTTTTATTTGTTCATTAAAAAACTTAAGCATTTTCGGATGACTACTGTTTTTACTGTTATT